GGGCTATCAGATTCCACACAGGGTTGTGGGGACAAGGTGCTTTGGAGGAGATGGGGGTGTAGAGGACTCTTGGATAAGGGTCTGTCTGGTATGGATTTGTGAGGGGACCCATTGTCGTGTGGTTCTTTGTTGGGGTTTTTTTTTGATGGGGGGGGGGGGCACACGGTTTTTTGTTTCTTCCTCAATTTTTAATAGCTGTCAATTCTTTTGCTTATGTTCAGCTGTTCCCCACTGATATCTGATGAGTCATCTGTTGAGGATGCTGCAGCACGCTTCTTAACCAGATATTCACTGGTTAAGGACACTGGCAGGCGCCTGCTAAGGGAAAAAAACATTGGAAACCAGTACATAGCAGCAGTTTGCAGTGTTTAAGAGCCTTCAGCGTTTTTTCCCATCTTCAAAGGGTTGCCAAAAACACAAGTGTTTTTGTTTGTGTTTTTTTTGTTTTGTTTTTTTTTGGGGGTGGGGGGGCTTCTGCTCCCTAACACTGAAACTTAAATGCTTCTAGACTAAAATAGTGTGGATGAACACATAGGATAACACGATTTTCTTCTTGAGGCAAAGAAAACACTGCTGCTAGAAGCTTTTTGTTTAGGTTAGTGTGCATTTTTTTACTTTTCTGAATGCTGGAAACTGACTGCTAGAAAACGTACGTTAAGTCAGTTTAGCCGCGTTTCTCTACCGCGTTTATGCGCATTTGCATTTTAGAAGAATTTTGAAAAGAGAATGTCAGGAGACCCTCCTGAATGCACTGAAAAATAGTAAAAAAGAAATGGTAAATAACTAGTTCAGACATTTTGTGAGAAATGAAGCAGAGAGAGAGCACTACTTGCTGATGGGTCTTGCAAATGTAGCATAAGTGTCTTGTGAAACATGCTTGGCGCTGTGGGAGGAGCTACATAGTACTGTAATGCCTCCGGAAGCATTCTGGAGTGCACACAACACTCCTTGTGCTTTTTTTTGCTGTGTTTTGATGTGTTCCAGTAAAGTTCTGTGCAGAAATAAAGCAGCACATTCTACCATTCTTTCCTTCATGCGAAACCTGCAACTGACTGCGTTGGTGTACTAAGTCCATTTGAATACATGGAAAAGGCTTTGCGTGCATTTCTGATGATGAAAAAAGGCTCTGGGCAGCATCTGGATATGGAATATTTAAACACTTCTAAACGCAAACGCTTATAAACGCGGTTAACCACGTTTACAAGCATTTTGTGTTTGAAACGCCGGTAAAATCTACTCCTCAATGCAAGTTTGGTGCGTTCAAAAAAAAACAAACTGTAAACTCAACTGCCTGTAAACGACTGTGTGTACATGGACATAGGTAAACATTGGGGAGAGTTCAGGGGCTGCTGAAAAAAATGCTGAACAGGTCCTGAATGTCAGTTTAGCAGCTGCAGTGTACATGAGCCCTAAGACTATCTGCCTATACTGGGGAAAGTAGTAGTAATATATTTTAGTGTTGGGTGTATAGTGCTGGTCTATACTTACCCAGGGGGATAACATACTTTCATCTGCTGGAGATAAGAACATTTGGAGTGGCACCTGGAGCACTTGATAATTGATAATTCTAAATATGGCTTGAAATCTGATATTTACTACAGACTGCAGTTATTAGCCTTTCCCCCATGTTTGAAGTAAATGAATAGTGAGAATTTTTTCCCTGAACAGAATTAATTTTTTTTTAACATACCTTAGTCTGCCCACCAGCAGCAACAGATTGATGAGGAAACACATTTACGGGCAGATTGTGTTCCCCCCTCCACAGTGTTGAAGATCTTCCTTTCTGTAATGCTGTAGGGCTGGCATTTTTTCTGCTTTGTGGAATGTGAATGATTGTAAAATATGTGGCTGCAGACTTGATTCACTGAAGTACTGACATCTGCAGGTGTCTGCATTGTGCAGATCATGGTATAGAAGATGGCTGTTATAGATAATAGTTTGTAATGTGCAACTATCACATGACGTTTCTGTTAACTATTCCTGTCCTTTTCCATATTGCTTGTAAATCATGAGCGGTATAGGCATAGCGCTATCATTGGATTGAACAAAAGATGCTGCTGTTGCTGCTCAAAGGGGACATAAGATCTCACAGGCTTAACCACTTTTCTATTGAGGCAATTTTTTTTTAATTTTCACACATTAAAATAAGCATTTTTTGGACTAGAAAAATTACTTTATATCAAAACAATTATATATGTTCTGAAAGTGGAGGCCCTGTAGAATACAGTGGTAGCAGTTGACATTTTTTGTGTTGTGTATGTGTATTTGCACAACTGATTATCAAATGCACATTTTTTAAGAAATTACAATAAATTAAATTTTAGTACAAAATGGGATACCCAGTATTTTGGTTAAATTAAAATGATTCTAAACCGAGGACCCTGCATTCACTATACCTGGTCTCCTACAGTACTCGCAAAATGGAAATGCAATTATATTAGTAAATATAAACTGCAAAATACCTTTTCTCATCAGCAGTTAGAGCAGTTTTGTGCCTTCAGCAGAGCACTGGTTAAAGCTTGTAGGAGTTTTCTTTCTGCTCTAGAAGGATGTGAAACCTCTGACCCTCTGTCTGGACAGTGCTGATTGGCCCTGTGCTGATCACATGCACCCTCCCAAGAAAAAAAAGTCTTATCAATACACACCAAACTGAGCATGTGCATGTAACCACAGGTTCAGTCTGTATGAGATGGTCATTTCAAGAAGAGGAGGGGCAGAAAAGAAAGGATCAAACAGCCTTTTTAACCAATGCAGAGGATTAACCCCTTAGGTTCCACAGTGAGGAAAACAAGCATGCTTTACTGCATATAAATCCTGTATAATAATAATATACAGACTGATTTTAGTGTTGTGGATTTAGTAACACTTTAACATGTTGTGGTGAGTGAATAGATGCCAGACATGTCAAGATTCAAAATTGTGCACGGCCGTAAAATGAAGAAAAACTAAGCTACCTTTTTTTTTTTCCCCTGTCCCTAGAATTATTACTGTCACATTGCTTACATACTAACACTGCAGATGACACACATTGTTTGAATTCAGTGTATGCACTGGGTTTGTGTTTAACTTTTTAAAATAATTTTTAATTTTATTGCAATATATTTTTTTAAATATTTTTTTAAAATTGTATTTTCAACTAACTGTATTGTGAACAGGTCCACTATGTGATAGCATTGACAGCTGACAGATCCTCCTTAGGCCCCTTTCACACGAGGCATTCCATATGTCCGTTTTTCATCCGTCTGTTTACAGATGAAAAACGGACACCTATGTATTTCTGTGGACTAGCAGATGTAAACGGGTGATCTGTTTGCATCTGTTAAAAAGAAAAACCCCAAAAAACTGGATGTAAACTGACGGAAAAGGGAGGTAAACAGACATATGGTTCATTTTTGCATTGGTAACGGATGTAAACTGATGAAAAATTGTTGTGAAGTGAGGGTGAAGTGATGAAAAACTGACATGAACTGATCTGTTTTTTTTCTTTGAAAAAACGTGATTGAACTGATAGGAAAAAAATGGAACTCCCGTGTGAAAGGACCCTTTTAGAGACATCGAGAGTCTTTTAGACCTTCAAATTCTCCGCTGTCGCTCACTGCAACTAATCTGGCGCAGCTTGTGCTTGATTATCTGCTTTCCTGGCTACACCAATGGGGGAATGACTGCTAAACTTGGAAGCGTTCCTCCTGTCCAACATGCTAAAGTGGTTAACTGCCATTCTGGGCTCCCTGGAGGAATGGGAGAGTCCAGGAACCACAATGGTGTATGGCATCATCTTGTTACTGTAAAGGCTTTACAACCACCCACATAACTTTTTACAGATAGTTTGCTGGGCAAACAAAAACTCAGCCATGAGCTTGCTTTAAGCACTTGAATACAAGGATGTATATAAACGTACCTTGTAGAAGAGTTAAGTACATCTAAACCCAAGAACAAAAATGGGATATATTGCAGCATACAGTTCCTTTTTTTTTTCTTCTAGTTTGTACCTATGGTGATTCTGCCAGTAATATACATATTGTCTTAGGGTTACAACACGCTATACACTATGGAGGGGCAATGTCACTCAAGACACAAAAACACCTCTCCTTGTCCTTCTCTTTATAACACTGGAGGTGGTGTTCTGTAGTCCATAAAGAAGGCTGGGCTGATGATCCTACCACATATCTACATCCCCAATTTCAAGTTTGGAAGCTGTGTAAAATATACATAAAAACAATGCAATGATTTTCAAATCTCACAAACCCATGTTTTGTTCACAATAGAAAATGGAAAACATAACAAATGTTTCAACTGAGAAAATGTACCATTTTTAAGAAAAAAATATTTTGAAATTGTTGGCAGCAACACATTACAGTTGGTAGGAGGACCATGTTTACTACAGTGTAGCATCCCCTCTTCTTTTAACAATACTCTGTAAATGTATGGGATATGAGGATGCCAGGTGCTGGAGTTTTGGGGGAGGAATATTTATCACATTCTTGTCTGAGCACTTGCTGCTCTAAAACCTGTATATATGTTTGAGCATTGATGGTGCCTTTCTATATGTGCTGGCTGCCCTTTCCATACATACTAATTCACCCTCATACCATTAGTTGAAGCCTTTTGAACTGAGCACTGATAACAAGCTGGCAGGTCCCTCAGTGCAGAGGAATCGTTGCCCATGGTGCCCAAAAAGAATGTCAAATTTGTTTCATCTGACCACAGAGCAATTTTTCATTTAGCAACAGACCATTTTAAATGAGCTTTTGCCCAGAGAAGACTGTGGCTTTTCTGGATCATGTTCAGATATGGCTTCCTCTTTAACCACCTCCCGCCCGTCATATAGTCCAATGACGGGCGCAAGGTGGTTCTCTCTTTCTGGGAGGACGTCATATTATGTCCTCTCATTCTCACCGCAAATGCGCTACTCAGGGAGCACGCGGCGATCGAGGGACACAGCGGATCACCGATCTACGGAAAGAGCCTAAGATATCGGCTCGGTCATGTGATCAGCTGTGTCCAATCACAGTTGATCACATGTAAACAGGGAAATGCCGGTTATTGACATTTCTCTCCTCTCGAGCTGTCACGCTGACAGCTCGAGAGGAGAGGCGGTAATCGGCATTCCTCGGAGGGGACATATACACTGATCATCAGGGCACTGATGATCAGTGTGCCCTGATGATCAGTGTGGCTCCAGAAGTGCCAGCTGTCAGTGCTGAACAGTGCCACATCAATGCCACATATCAGTGCCCATCTGAGCCGCCTATCAGTGTGCATCAATGCTGCCTAACAGTGCCAGTCAGTGCCACCTATCAGTGCCATATATCAGTGATGCCTGTCAATGCCCATCAGTGTCACCTACCAGTGCCTCCTCATCAGTGCCTCCTATCAGTGTCCATCAGTGCAGCCTATCAGTGCCCACCATTGCAGCCTCATTAGCGCACATCAGTGAAGGAGAAAAATCACTTATTTACAAAATTTTATAACAAAAACTAAAACGTTTTTTTTTTTCCAAACTTTTCAGTGGTTTTTGGTTTAAGAAAAAATAAAAAGCCCAGAGGTGATTAAATACCACCAAAATAAAGCTCTATCTGTCACAAAAAAATGATAAAAATTTCATATGGGTACAGTGTTGCATGACTGCGCAATTGTCATTCAAAGTGTGACAGTGCTGGAAATTGGCCTGGGCAGGAAGGGGGTATAAGTGCCCTGTAGGCAAGCAGATAAATGATAGAGCTTTGGTCCTCGTGCACACTGGACGTTTTTACAGCGGCTGTTTTTGGCTTTTGACATTTTTTTTTCTACAGCCAGTAAACCCCCCAGCATGTTATCCTATGTGTCCATGTGCACATAGACTGTACCCAACATTTTTTTTGGCTGGAAATAAACTCCAGGACTAGTGTGTTTCTAGAGGAGTTTTTTAGCTGTGAAAGCGCTCTACTGCGGTAAATCGCGGCAAACAAGCAGTTTTTGACTAAAAAAAATTTATTTTGTGGTTTAAAAACGCAAGCTTGAAAAACGCAGCAAAACTTTGCTAAACGCTAATACAAAAATGCTAAAAAAAAAAATGGTGAAACCTTCATGTTTTTAACTTGACTTTACACAGCTAACGTTACCAGCGTTATTAAAACGGCCTATTTGCATGGAGCCTTAACTTGCATTTATTGATTTATTCACAAACTGTTCACAGACAGTGATATTTTGGAATTATTCCTGCGCCCATGCAGTGATGTCCATCACAGAATCATGCCTGGTTTTAATGCAGTGCTGTCTGAGGACCCAAAGATCTGAGGAATTAATATTGAATTTTGGCCTTCTCTTGTGCACAGATATTTTTCCAGATTCTCTGAACCTTGAACTGTAGATGATATGTTCAGTCTTTGAAATTTTACGTTGAGGAACATATTCTGTAATTGGACAAGTTCTAGATGCAGCTTTTCACAGATCTGTGAACCTCTGCCCATCTTTACTTCTGAAACACACTGACTCTCTAACATGCTCTTTTTATACATATTACGGACCTGTTGTTAGTTAACCTAATTAGTTGCAAAATGTTCTTCTAGCTCTTCCTTACTTCCCCACTTACTTTGCCAGCTTGTTGTTGCCAACTTTTTTGAGACCTGTTGCTGCGATCAATTTCAAAATTACCTTCTATTTTTCTTGAAAATGGTACATTTTCTCAGTTTAAACATTTAATGTTTTCTGTTTTAAAAAAAAAAAAAAAAAAAAAAAAAAAAAGGGTTTGTGAGATTTGCAAATCATTGCATTCTGTTTTTATGTAGATTTTACACAGCGGCCCAACTTTTTTGGAGTTGTAGTAAGCTCATAATTTACTGTACAATCTGCTGCACTACAATCACATACAAGGTCAACAGATTATTTTTGTTAATGAATAAAATAAAACTCTCTTAAATAGTATAATTTACAGAACAAGTAATACAATTTAAACTATTTTTGTTCAAGTACTTTCAGCAAAGTGAATAGGGATCACAAAGCATGCTTGAAATTGTAGTTGAAGTGAAGTTTTATGACCCAAGATTTATGTTCATACCTGCACAGCATGAATCTGTAGCTTTTCTTGGCATTTTTGCAGTACACATAGTGTATAACCTAAACTGGTTATCTTTCAGTGTAATATTTTAAAGTTTTGTTTCTAAAGGTTTTTTTTTGTTTTTTTTTACAGCTTATTCTGTTCTGTGTCACTTTTGAATTCTCCTGTATTGCTGCTATTGCTTAATTTTAAATGTCAAGCCTCACATGTGCATTTTGGTCTCTTTTTACAGAATACAGAGTGGTGTGCACAGCTGTACTTTAACATCTGGGCCTGTAAAATCACAACACAAAGATCTAAAGTTCTGAGCAGCCATATTCCTTGTGTTGTATTCAGGTTAATGCAAAATCTGGTACACATACAGTATTGTACAGTGATTTGGAAAGGTCAGCCGTCTTAGAAACATGACCAATAGGATAAGTGTAACTACACTAAGTGGTCACACTCCAGTTTCTGGGGTCTATTACTGACTCATCGTCCAAAATGTTACTTGGTGGTGTTGCTTGGTGTTAAGTATTTTTTTTTTTCTTGTTTCTATAATAAGCTACTTAATTTTCCTCAACCATTAGCTTCCAGAATACTTAATTGATTTTATTTTTCCATTTTTATAGGTCAGTAACAGATCCACGGGATGGAAAGCGAGTTGCTCTCAAAAAGATGCCCAACGTCTTCCAGAATCTAGTCTCTTGCAAAAGGGTCTTCCGAGAATTGAAGATGTTGTGTTTTTTTAAGCATGACAATGTAAGTAAAGATGGACACTGTTTTTGGTGGATGCATTGATGGCTATTTAATTTGTTTGATGTCTACAGTTCCAGTCACTGGGACAGGTGTTGCTGTTTTAACAACTTTGCAGTGTAAAGTTCTTCTGCATTCAAAATAGCTGGTGGACACTAACAGCAATGCTGTATAATATGTACCACAGTTATATTGGTGTTTTTGAATCATTCGTAGGCCCCATTCACACCTCTTCCTTGCTGTACGCTGCTGTGCCATTCAGTTTCAGTGGCTGATGCATCTCCGACACACATGCTTTGCAGCGCACCACAGTGAATAATAATGCACGACTATGAGCTGTCAGATTTTTTTTTTTTTTCTTTTTATATATGTTCCGTTTTGGTGCGTTGCCAGTCAAGTCATAATAATGGAATGCCTTAACTCAGTGCATGTTCACGCTCAACTTAAAGTGTTTGTAATATAATTAAAAAAAAAAAAAAAAATAACAAACATGACATACTTTCCTGCTGTTCCTGTGCATTCCATTGCACAGAGTGGCTTGGATGCTCCTCTACTTGGATCCCCTGCCGGTGCTCCTGGCTCCTCCTCCTTCTCAGTGTGCCACCATATGAAGCCACACATCTTGGGACTCCCAAGCAGTGCTGCCTGCATCCATGAACAGACTGCACGGTTCAACCCTGCCTCCACTCCCTCATCACAGGATTTGACTGACAGCTGCGGGAGCCAATGGCTCCAGGCATCCAGCTTCCGCTGCCTCAGCAAAGCCTGTGGTAGCAGGGAGAATCGTTAGGCACAGCTCTTGACTGAGTGAGGACTCAGGTTAGTATAATGGAGAACCACTTTAAGCCTGAGTTCACATATATGCTGTGCGGCATATCGCATGTGATTTGCTCAGGAACTGCACTGCATTCCTGTGCAAATCACATGCGATTTGTGTGTGGTGTGATTGGAGCCATACATTATGTATGGCTCTAATCACACTACACCAAAAATGTGCAGGACCCTTTTTTTGTGGGTATTCACACCTATGCGATCCGATTCTGCACATCACACTGCGTTTTGGTGACTGTTTTTGAGGTGTCAACATACACGCACACACCCCCAGCGGTTCGCATAAACTGGGCGCGATTCTGATGTGGTGCGGAATTTGCACAGAAAACACTGCGAATTCCACACCGCATCAGTGTGAAGCAGGGCTAAGTGGTGAAAGTATCTGAATTTTGCCTTTAAATAAGCCTCGTGATATCTTTTTCACTGCAGGACTGGAAGCATCAGTGCTGCATGCAAATGTACTGACAAAGTACATACTGATGGGAGGAGAGAGCAGAGTGATAACATTCAGTCTGCTGCTGCATTTTCACTGTCTTGTGAGCAGGCTTGAATGAGGAAATGACACCGCTGTATATCTTCTACAGTCTATAGAACTGTAACAGAAAAGCATGCACTGCAACTTCTGTAATTTCAGAAATGGGCAGATATACTTTAGCAGGCAAAACTGTGTTACAGACTTGTGCTGCAGTTTGCAGTCAGTCTAATGTGTTAGCTGCTGATTGTGAATTGGGATTCTTTGCTTCAACACTAGAGAGACTCTGTGTGATCAAAAAATCTGTTCCTTTGAGGTTAATTTTGGCATTGGAGCCAACTGAGTATACTATTTGCCTATGTTGTAACAATAAAGTGAGTGGTGCAGCTTTTACTGATTTTTCTAGCATACATGTGTTGCCTAAACGTTGGTTGGATTTAGCTTTTTTGTAAAGTGTGGGCTTTAAGACAAGTCCCTATAACTGTTGCCAGTTTGTCATTGGTATGTAACATTTGAGAACTGCTAGCCAATTTTGAAGATGGCCATACATGGCTTGAACCTCAGCCAATTCCTGTGAATCTTCCAAAGTTCAAGCTGAGGGAGGCCCTGACTGCACCTCTTGACTACTCAATCTTCAACTGAAAAATGAAGGCGTTGAATGAGGGAAATGTGAGCAGAACAATGACTGCAGCCAATCAGCTGTAGTCAACATTCGAGTATTCTGCCCATCCTGAGTGCTATCTATCGGAATACAGTATCCAGCATTGTGGGATTCATCCATACACCATGTTTTGCATGGATGGGGGGAATCTGTGGTTTTCTATATCTTTTCTGTAGTATCTTATGCTATAATGGGGTATGCTTAAAGGATAAGTTCACCTTTTGAGAAAAAATAATAAATGCACATATTTTTGCAGGGAAAAATAGTCTGGAATCATTGCACATGTGATCAATGGATCAGGAGTGCAATGCTAGACACCCTGCAGAAAAGCCCTGCTGCTTTTGGCTCATACCATCATATAGGATGACTGTATACAAGTTGCCGGGCTTGTGAATGAACTGTGAGGCTGCTCGTCAGCGACTCCACGGTCCATTCAGATTTATAAGCCATCAGCTGCAATGGCTGAGGGTAGTTGTAGTTCAGGCATTCAGAGGAAAATATGAATGATGTGACACTGTGGGCGAAGCCCTACACGGCCACATTTTTAAATGGGCATTAAGAGAAGATCTCCCGCTGGCTGTCACAGGGAGGGAGGGGGTGGGGGGAGGCTGGAACTGCTGGAACATGTAACATGTTCCAAAAGCTGAACTTAACCTT